CATTGTCTTCAAAAAGAAGACGCCGAACTGACTGAAATGGAGTCAAGGTTGCACTTGAAGCTGCATGAGAAGTCCATAATAACAGCATGCTTTTACCAACGACGTTGCTAATTATGATCACCTTATCACAGTGTCGGTCTGCACCTAACGACCATTCTTCCGGGTGAAGTTCGTATTTATGATTCTCTAATTTTTGATTTCCTAAAATTATGTCCCTGTTCGAATCAGAAGGCCGATTATTATTCCATGAGCGCTTCCGCTAACGTACATAAAAACGTGTCATCCGATGTCTCTCGCACGAGTTTCTGGGGAGTGGGATTTGACTCAGTTCTGGTATAAACCGTATGTCTCTGGAATGTGAACATACTCTCGAATCTCACCACTTCAGAACCGGAAATGCAACTTGGTCAGCGACTCATCGAATAGCTACGCGGCATTTTTCATTACAGGAAGTTCAGCAAAGCCTGTCGAATGCTGAACAAAATCAATGGCCTTCAGTTGGTACTCTCCGCACAGGACTTCAGAAACTGCCCTCTGGTGGTGATTCTGCACAAAATAACCAAAAGCGTATGAACAAATATTAGTACAGTATGCAGCTCTGCAGAATTATTCATGTATTAGCAAGGAATCGCGACTGAACAAGAGACGTCTAAGATTGCTTACTTCCTTAGCAGTACCTGTAAAGAAAGCTGCAACGGAAAAACTGGGCCGATGTTCAAACGTAGGATACTGAATCTATGGATTACATTGGAAGAGTAGACGACAATTGTTAAATCGCAGTGGAATGTGACATTACGAAAAACCACACTATCTAGTGCGATTACAACAAGATACTCAGAGAGTGGCTAACTTGAGGAAAGTGAAAATTAAGAAGCAATGATAACCGTTGAAACTCAGAGTCAAATAAATGACAAAAGAGGCCTATGAGATTGACTAGGCTTGACCATTGCTGCTGCGCAGTCATAGACTAGTTACTTTCATGTTTCGCCTTATCTGTAAACAAAGCGGTACGTTGCGTTTCGACTCCCCAAGGATTCTTACTTCTCTCGCAGACAAGACCACGAATTCGGTGGCACTGAGTACTCAGCGGAGACTCACTATCGGAAAGGGATAACTACGTTTTCTGTATTTAATATCACGGGATGTTTGCTTTTTCAGATCTTTCTCGGGATTGATTAGTGATAATCTCTCCCTCAGTCCGTTCGAATCCAAATATAAATCAGACTTAATTAATAGCTAACGAATGTGTTACACCGGCATTACAAATCACAGTGATTCACAATCCACTGCTCACAAAATCTGCTTCGAAAACTAACTTCTATGACTAATCGTAGAGAATCACTAATTACTGCATACCTTCTCATCTGGAACTTGAACTTAAGGGCTACAGCCTACATACAATCTGCTAGGAAGCTCTCAAACCTGCACTGAGCATCTGTGAAGTCATGTTGCCTAATCAAAATCTTACTTAAATCAAGAATACCACCTAAAGTGAAATCAATGGCTATGGACACAAGGAAACGAACAGAGGATATTCCTCAATATAAACGCTGGTGTTTCAACCCAGTTACACTGGTCATTCTCAGGGAAGCCAATGTTTG